TAATATATTAAGTAATCCAAAGTATTCAGAATACGTTACTCTCATTGAGTAACGTAACGGAATACGTTACAAAATACATTTTGTATTATGAACTTATGCAGTTTATGCAGGTTTATTCTACAATGGCAGATGGCTGCGTCTCCCTGAGCCTGGTTCTCCTGGTGGTTGTATCCTGCACTTAACCTTTTGATATAAAGCACCCTCAGGTGGCTGCTGTTGTGATTCGGTTCCACATAAATAGAATTGAATTGAAAAATCCAATTCAATTGGTCACATTAAAGACGGGAAAACTTTTAAAATTATTTATTGTGGTCTCATTAATGTAAAATCACAAAAATCTGGCATTTTAACAGAGGTCAAAATACATTTTGGGGCATGTATTTTGTAATCTGTAGTGGAATACATTTTAAAAGTAACCTTCCCAACACTGCACATCACTGCTGAAGATCTGGGGGATTTTTTGGTGGAGAAGAGCAAACAGACACTCAGAGAGCAGTAAGTTACTGTGACACCTACAGACCATCCACCTCACACCTGAAAGTCTGTTTGTGATGAAGTGTAAATGCTAAGAGAAAACCTCTATTTTTTCTTTTGAAGGCTTCGGGACTTGGAGGATTTTGAGGAAAAAGAAGCCAAACCACTTCTGAAAATGGTAAGACTAGAAAATAAAAAAACATGTTCTGGCTTTTCGTCCAAAGTTGACTGGTATTTGGAACTGTTCATTATTCATTTCACCTTCACTAAAGACCTAGTTCCAGCTGAAGACAAGCAACCCCAAACCATGATATTGCCTCCACCATACTTCACCAAGGGAATGGTGCTCTTTTGGTGATGTAAAGTGATTATGCAACTTATTATGAACTTATGCAGTTTATGCAGGTTTATTCTACAATGGCAGACATAACAATCGCACTGCCATTCCATACACCTGGACAGGTAATAGAGTTGATTTTCAGTTTTCGGATTCATACCTGAAGTTGAAGTATTTATTGTTTTATCTGTTCCCTGTTATCTTCCTATGCTTCAACCACAGCAGCAGAATTCTGAAGTGTTACCCAGAGGTTGATTTTAAACTGTTGTCTGTGTGGTGTTACACATAAAAATAACTACGTTTATACTCATGAGCTAATGATTATATACATTAAACAAACACTCAGGCAGGAATCTCCCACCACCGAGGAGCTCGACACCGCGCGTTGTCATGGCGACAAGCACCCCATCTTAAATTTGTCTATAAAGGTGAATTCGCGGTTCGCGCACTGGTTTGTGTGCGGGTGTCGTGCTCGTGACATCTTGCTCTTTTGTGACCGTCAGTAACCCATGCGGTCATGTCGACCCTTCCTTCCATGTCGGCCGGCCCCTAGCACGCGCCACCTCCGCGAGTCCAATCATAACTCAAAGAATGCCCACCCTCTCCCTCCCAACCCGCCATCCAAGTCGTCCCCGTACGACAACACAGCGCGCGTGTCACTTCCGGACCGGGCAGCGCACAGCATCAGCAGGCAGAGTGAGAGCCGATGGATGGACATATGAACGGAGCCGTCACAGACAGAGCCTGAGCACAGACACACTGAAGACGTGCCGGCGATAAACTAACAGAAACACTTACCGGTAAGTTTCCTCGTCGTTTTGTGACGAGCACACAGGATGCTGTGGCACCGTCAAGCTACTCTAAAAAATGAAGACTACTCTGGAAGTAAGAAACTTTATGCGTCTAAAAACAAAAACAGGTCTAAGGGGTTTATTAAATGATGTTGAATGTCACATGTTCTAAATATTTGGGAGCTAACTTAGAGGCCTGCCAAATAAAAGAGCCAGTGACTGAGGGGATTTTATGTACTAAGTATTTTAAATAGCAGTTTTGCTATTAGCTTCCTGACTTGTTTCGTTGCGGGTAAAGATAAATAATGCCCATAATTATTGTTTTTATTGTTTTTTATTTTATTTTTCTTCTTAAATGAAATGTGGGCATTACCTTCCATGTTGTAAAGTGTTTTACTTTAGAATTTGAAACCGGAAGTGTAACTGACGGTAACTGGTTTGTGTTGAATGTTGCAGCTGGAACATCTGTGGCTCACTGCTGAGCGCACTGAACTGATAAAGTCATTGAAATTACACAACATGTTACATGTCTTTGGCCTCACTCTTAATCCTTAATAAGGAATGATTTATGCCCCTTAAAATAATTTTGTAACATTTCTTCATGAGCTAATATAGGTCAGCTTATTACAGTCTTAATTTTTTTTGACGTGGAAACTCTTATAAATGTCCCTTTTCCATCTCTCCTTTGGTATTCACATTTACCCAATTACGAAAAGCAGACAAGTGGAGCACATTTTAAAAGAACATTTGTTGTACTCAAAGGCCCAGAGCGGAAAGTGTGTCAACCTCACCACAATCCTTGCTCTAACACGTACAATCCCAACCTGCTGGCTGCTTTTAGTTTCTATTTACACAGCTGACGGGAACTTGCCTGTGGTGGCAGTTATCAAATGATGCAGGTCCTTTAGAGTGCTCCTGTACCTAGAGACAGAGACGCTGTTGTCTTGCAGGGGATGGTCCGATGTGATCAGCAAACCCACAGACACACACACCACAAACACATACACACACACACACTCTCCTTCCTGCAAGCCAAGACACTAGTCTACTTCATTGTGCTGTTATAAAACACATCTGAAGCTGGGTATGGAGGAGAAACAAGGATTTTTATTTAAATTTACTGCGATTTTTCTGCTTAACTGTGAACACCCTCTAAGCTCATATCGGAGAAAGAAATAAGTTGTTGATTGGCATGCATGCCAGTAGTTTGTGTCACCACAGAAGCAGGGTAAAGCTGCAGTCTGATCCGCATAATCCAAGCAATTGTGTTTTGTGCTTTCACTCGTGTTGAAATCACACTTCATTGGTTTTGATTGTGTCATTATTTTAAATCTGGGCCCTCAAACCAAACACAAACATAGGAACAAACCTCATATCCTATTTCTTTTTACACACACAATCACACACACACACAACCCCGTTCAGCTATCTTAGTGAGGACCTTCATTGATATGATGGTTTCCCTAGCCCCTTTACCATTAAAAATGAATGCCTAACCCTAACCCTTACCCTAAACCTAACCATAACCTAATTGTAACCCTGACACTAAAACCACATTTTGAGCCTCAAAAAGGCCTTCAAACCTGTGAGCACCAGTGTGTGTGCCCTCACAAGTGACTGTAGAATGCAGATTTCGGTCCTCACAAAGATAGCTAGACAGGAACACACACACAGAGTGTGACCCTCTAGCCTTGAGGTGCCCCATTTCAGAGTCGATTGACCCACACAGCAAACGGCTCAAGGATTATATTTGCTAACCCTGACCCCGATTGTTTCCGTTCGGTGCATTGTTTCGCCACAATGTCCTTGTTAAAGTTTCTGCAAGGTTTCGAGGCTGCCTGCTTAGCCGAGTGGGTGTAAGCACTGTGACGTGTGCACACAAAAGACCCCATTCACGCCATCTCATGAGGAAGCAAAGATTCCCTCACGCACACACAGGCGCACACACATGCCGGCTCACCCCACCACTACGTAGACCGTACCACTATATTACTCAATTAATCCAGTGATTAACTCAGTGAGTGGAGACTGCCTGCAAATCTCTCGCTGTTGCATAAAGCTAACTATTCAGTAACCATTAGTCTACATGTTATGTATACCCATTCTTGAATGCAGGCGATTAGAACCAGCCTTGTTATTGCAGTTTTGCAGTTTAGACTCTTGATCCTTCTTTTTCTTTGCAAAGACATAGTGCAGCTGGTGTGTAAATCAGGCTGCATGTGGTTGTGAAAAGCCTCTTCTAAACCATCAGTAGGTCAGGATGCTGTCTTATGGTCAGCAAATGGCTATTTAGGGCAGTTAGTGATGTGGAACCAGGACCATCAATCTTTTATTTATGCTCACTTGAGTATATTTAATGTAGCCAAGTGAAATCTGACCTTCATAATATGAGTTATGAAGCCTAAAAGCACATAGGTTTGGGGTGCAACTGGGTACTTTTTAAACTGCCTTAGTTTTTCCAACATTTTTTCGCCTGTATGTGTCCGTGAAGATAACTTACATTCAATTTTGAGGGCTGAAAAATTGAATTACATTTTATTTATGTAGCGCCAAATCACAGCAACAGTTGCCTCGACACATTTGGGCAGTGCGAAAAATGCAGGTGGGCAAGTGGCTGGACCTAAACAAGTTACAGCATTTCAAAGGTCAATTTCTAAGCTACATTTTTATACCAGGCTCATCCTCATCCTTCTGTGTCAAAATAAAATTTGTATTGTCTAATGTTTTTAATGGCTTCATTTACTACGCTAAAGCTATCGTATAAAAAATTAACTGATTCTGAAGGCGACAAGTGGAACTCACTGGTTTTTTGGAAAGGTAGTGAAGTTATCAGGTCCTTTCTCTGCCCTTGCGCAAACTAACTAATGGTAGCTTGTAACACACACAATAGCACTAACCACTATTAAGTTTTAAATATTGTTCAAGATGCAACAATGCTGGACATTGTGTGTTTTTTAGCCTTCAAAATGGGAGTATTACTCCTCTGTAAAGGTTAGTGAGGGTCTGCAAATGCAGGATGCAGAGGGACGTTAAATCGCAAAAGATGAACCTTTAATAGCTGAGATACACAAAGTCCAAAGGGCTTCAAAACCACAGCAGGATTCTAAAAAACGGAGAGCAAAAGAGGAACAAGTAAAGTGCAAATGGAGAACTGATAAGGAGAGAAGCAATACTGTTTAAACAGAGGTGAAAACAATCAGGCACAGGGGAATCTTATGAGCGCTACGCAGATGTCCACAAAGAAGCAAGAAAAATCTGTATAAACAAACAGAGACTTTTTTTAACCCCTCCCCTCATCAACCCCCCCCCCCCCAAAAAAAACCCCAGGAAGTACAGTGCTGTAAAATAGTATTACCCCTTCACGATTTCTTTTTTTGTTTTTTCATAATTTTCACACATACATGTGTCAGTCAGTAGAAAAAAAGCAGAAATGTGAGAACAAACAACAGCTATGAAACATGCTTTCTAGGGCACAGTATGCAAACTTGGTCTTGGTCACACTCTCACAATTTCTTTCCTCTACTGACACTGTGTGTGTGAGAGAGAGAAGGGAAGAGATAAGCCAACAAGAAAAGCTTCCCAACAAACATTTATTGCTCCTATTTTAGTGACGGAAAGATGCCAACTGACCTCAAAGTCCTGACCAAAGTCCAAAGCAGCTGAACTCTGATACTAAGAGCTGTGAAGTTTAAAAGATGTCACTATTTAGCAGTAAGGGATCTCTAAAGACATGACGGGGTGACATTGTGTTTTCTGGATTAAAATTCAGTATGTCTGGTCTATCCTGCTAAACTTTCTCAATTTTTTTAAACCCCCCGGTAAAAGGTCCCAAATTTAAAAAAAAAAAATCAACTACAATAAAAGCACTGTATCATTAGAACTAAACTAAATTAAAACATAAATCACTGGGCCTTTAACCTCTGCCGTGGTATATAATGTGTCAAACCCTCTGAATCAGTTGAAGCAAAGTGAAGGACAGAGTCACTGAGTTCAGAAGAAAAACAGATTTTAACTTTATTGCTTAATGGAAGTCAGGAGTCATTTTTAACAACTAGCAGAAGATAGTGGAAATTATTTGATATTTTACAGGAGATCTAAGCCATCTGTTCCTTGTTGACACTGAGCAGCAGTGGAAGAAGTTGTAGTCTGCCAGCACCATGCCTTCCTGAATCGTTTTCCTCTCGTTTAATAGGTTGTTTAGCACAGTGCCGGTCATCCATTGTCTATATTTCCTTGAGCTCCACTTTGAGCAAAAGAAAAATGACAAATGGGACAGTGGGGCCAGCAAACGAACACTGTAGAGTGATGGGGTAAAACTTGTGTTCCACCAGGGTACAGTTTTGGTAAGCTTTAGCATCCTGTGATGAAGCAGGGCGTCCTTGCTGGGTAACACCAGGAAGAACCACAGAGCTGCAATTCAATTCAATTCAATTCAATTTTATTTATATAGCGCCAAATCACAACAAATGTCGCCTCAAGGCGCTTCATAGATACAGAGAAAAGCCCA